GGATAGAACCCATATCACAATCACAACAATAATGGTAAAATGCTTTACATCACTCTTTATTTTAAAGGTGATTGTACCAACACAAACTAATCTTCACAACATTCAAGGGAGGTAGATAAGTATTACACCACTTTCACAGACGGAGAAACCAAGGCAGAGATGAATAGGTTGTGCTGAAGGGCAAATTGGATGGCCTAGTTAGGAAAAGAATCTGCAGTAAAGATCGCCGGTGATCACCCATGATTTCTGAGTCCACCAACACAAAAGTAGCAGACAGCATGGAAGCAAGACTTGATCAGTCTGGCTAATCTAAGGCTAAAGTTTACTTTGTGAATACCAGAAGTTGAATGCGCTGTCCTTTGCCAAGCATTTCCCGTACACACATTCTCACGATTCCACCTTCAAAGAAAGGGAGAGTGGAGGCTGCCATGAGTGCAGGGGAGGGGTTGGAGCAATAGGGCTGGGAAGGTGGAAGACAGAAGAGAAAACATGGGCTGATAAGAAAGCAAAGGTGATGAAGAACAGAACGCCAGCAAGGATCACCAAGGGCGAGGAAGACCAGAGGAGCTGTATTGGAAAAGTGTCATTCAATGTACATAGCTCGGACCTCCAGAAATGCTATTACAGGGAAATTCTTAGCAATGACATTACAGAGCCACTCCTCATGGCTTTGCCAAATGTAATTATCAAATGCTTCTGACATTCCCAGGAGGCACTACTCCTTGCCTCTTGTCCAGATCAAGTGATGATGTAATTGACTTAACACTGCCAACAAAGGGTGCTGACAACTCAAATGCCCTCTCCCTCCATGCCATCTCATTCCCTGCTCTTCTATGCTCTTTCTGAATTAAAAAAGGGGGAAAAAATCCAATGCATTTTAGAAATCTCCCAGCAAAAATCCTAAGACACTTCCTAAATTTTTGATGCATTATATGGTAGGATTCTAGGTTTGCTTTCTTTAAAAGGGTCATGGCCGTAATACATAGGGCTTAGCAGTCCTCTTAGCCAATGTTCTTTATACAACCTGGGACATTAAAAGCAATAAAGAACAAACATAAAACCCAACTCAAAATGTGGGAGTGCTGAGAGTGTCTGGAGAGAGACTAGAGATCAAGATCAAAATCAAGCCCTTTCTGATCTTTCTAGTGCTAAACCAACACGAGATGGTAACTGAAGCATGTCCAGCTTCAGCGGAGGTACTGCTGGGAAGAGTCAGCACTGAACACTAGGGGTGCCCAAGGATCCAGCAGGGAAGTGCTAAAATGTTAGGTGAACAGGTAGAGGTGGCAACAGAGGCAGCGGAAGAGGCAGAAGAAGTCAGAGCAAAGATGTGATGGCCAAAGAGCAATGGAGGAGAGGCGCAAGCACTTGAGACTGAGTGGGAGGCAGCAGCAGTACTAGTTGGTGTTGGGTGTCTCCTAGGACAGGTCAGTAATATAAACATATCCTTTCTTCATTTCAGCTGGCAGCTTTATTATTCCAGACATCTGGGACTCTTCCTTGCCAACAAAAGCAACCAACTGCCATGCCCTACTGGCTTCTATGTCCTCATAGTCCCTAACAGTGGTCCGTTGTCTTCTGAGTATCTCTTCTGGGTCTTCCATACCATCTTATCCAAACCAGGGATGAACACTCCTACCTCATCTCCTAGACTCCAATCTTTTCCCCCACTCAATTCTATCTCCTAATCTTCCTCTTGGAGCACAATTCTGATCACATTCAATTGGAAATGCCACATGTTCTTTCTCTGCTTCCCAATTATGTGCTTCATCATCTTGAGTCTTTGACAGGACCTTGCATCTACAAAAGGCCCTCTCCTTCACTAACTCTAAAGGCTTAGCTCAAAAGCCATGTCCTCTGAGGCCTTCAAGATTCTTAGCTAAAAGTAACCTATGTGCTTCGAGCTGCAAAAGCACTGGAAGACATACTCTATCTAATCACTTACAAGACAGCAGCGTGGAAGCCTTATTTCCCCAGTAGGCTGTGTCCATGTGTAGGCAGGGCGGGGCATAGCCAACAGTATCTTAATAGTTGTCTATTCCCTAAAGCACCTACCAGTGAATGGCTATTGCATCTCTACTTTAGGTAAGGAACTGCTCAGTTGGGATGTACTTGTTCACGAATGCAGACACTGCAACAAGTACCCTATGTAGATGTGATCTTGCTCCTAGAATAACGTAAATCCATGATGTAGCTTCAAGGCATGGGAAAGGGGTAGGCAGGCATAGCTCTATGGTTTGGAATCAGAAGACCTAGGTTTGAGGTACTACTTTGAAATTCACTAGCTTCAGTTTATTCTTCTCTGGAATGTTAGGGTTTCAATGACACACCTTTGAGAATTCTACAACAGTAGTTCTCAACTCTGATGATGCATCCTAATCACCTATAAAGTTTCTGAAAAATACAGAGGACTAGGCCCCAACCCAGGCCGGCTGAATCAGAATCCTCTGAAAGTGGGCCCCAGGACCAATTATTTATAAAATACTGTTTCAAATGTATGAGGTCCTGGTGTGACAATATAGGATAAGCACTGGACTACTACCCTGCAAGGTCAATGGTTCAAACCCACAAGGTGTTCCTCGGAAACTCTAAGCAGGGTCACTGAGTAGGTACAGACTCAATGGCACTTAACAACAAGAATGCCCAGTCAAGGTTGAAACTACTGTTATAAACACATAAATACCATTAACATTCGAGTAAGGTGCCTTAGGCTGCTGGTTTAATTGTCCTTTATATGTTCGGTTAGAATTAGTTCAATGTTTTTATAGTTCCATTAAAATATACCACTGCATATGGGCCTTTTCTGTGTTGTTTATATACTTAAGTAGGAAGTTCTAAGAGAAAAAATAATGTCTGTTGTTAAGTTCCATCAAGTCACTTCTGACTCACAGCGACCTTGCACACAAGGGAACGAAACACTGCCCAGTCCTGCTGTCTCCTCACAAGTGTTAAAAGTTCAAGTCCATTGCTGCTGCCACTGTGCCAATCCATCTCATTTGGGGTCTTCCTATTTTCTGCTCACCCTCTACTTTACCAAACATGATGTCCTTCTACAGGGACTGGTCCCTCAGGATAATATGTCCCAAGTATGAGAGATGAAGTCTGGCCATCCTGGCTTCTAAGGAGCACTCTGGCTGTGACATCTAGTACACGGCTACACCCAATGATGTACCTAATCCCATTTCTTTTTTTTTTTTTAGAACAGTAAGTATAAACTTCATAGGGTCTTCTGAAAAACTTGCTACTCAAAAATGCAGTCACCAAACAGAACTGACATTACCTGGGAGCTTGTAAGAAATGCAAAAATTCAGGCCCTTTCCCCAGGACGAGGAAACCCAAATCTGCATAGTGACAGGATCTCCAGGTGGATCAACTGCTGTCCTTAAGTGCCATGGAGTCCTTTTAGACTCACAGTGACCCCGTATCAGGTTTCCAAGGAGCAGGTGGTGAGTTTGAACCAATCCCACAGTGCCACACCAGAACTCCAAGTGGATCAACAGGGGAAGAAAAGGCAAGCTTTTCTAGTTTCACTGTGGTTTGCAGTTCTGGAATCCTGGTGTGGCGCTGTGGTGTAATGCACCAGACTGCAAAGCCGTTTGAATTGCAAGGTCGGTGGTTCAAGCTCACCAGCCGCTCCTTGGAAACCCTATACAGGGTCACTATGGGTCGGAATCGACTGCATGCCACTTTAACAACAACAATGGTAGTTTTGGTGTGGTGCTGTAAGATAAGCACTGGACTGCTATCAACAAGTTTGGCAGTTCGAATCCATCAGCTGTTCTTTGGAAACTCTAAACAGAGCCAGTATGAGTTGGAACCCAACTCGACGACACTTAACAGCAAAGTCCTCGTATTGCACTGGAGGATAAGCACTGGATTGCTATACACAAGGTTAGAGGTTCAAACTCACCAGCAGCTCCTCAGAAACCCTACAGGGTGGCCATGAGTTGGAACTGACTCAATGGCACTTAACAACAACAACATGCACTGTCTTGGTCCTGACAAGGTTAGAAGACACGGATAGTCTAGGTCTTAAGTCTGTCTTCTACAAAACATTTAAGTCTGAACTTATTCATGGATGTTTTATTCTCTAATCATCCCATCTAGTAGAAACTAAGAACATAAATCCTTCAATAAGGTCCTTTCAAAGAAGTCTAGTCTTCACAGGGTTCTTTCAAATAGCTTCTCTCAAGTTATTTAAAATATGATTCTGTGTCTAGAATAAATTGATTTCTATTTAAATTTTATCTAGTCGACAAATAGCAAACATATCTGAACCTTACAATCCCCAGTATCCCAAATTAAAAAACTATGGTGGCAAGCTTAGCCAATATAGCAAACAACTGTTCCCTACCAAGCCATGCTCTCCAGATGACTGATGTTAGCAGTGCCCAGCGAAGACTGCACACACCATACAGTTAAAGAGTTGTAGCAGACACTGAACACTATCTAGTCCAACTCCCTTGTTTTATTGACAGAGAATACCAAGGATTATAGGCCGCTGTTCAAGATCACATAGCAACTTACGACAAAACCAATTTTAGAATCCAGACCCTGAGTCCCAGTCCTAAATTCTTCCTTCCCCTTCACATGGCCTTGAAATTTCATTCTCAGAAAATGCTACTCTGCCTTGGCCCTGTTACTACCAGCCCTAACCCCAGTGGGCTGTTTTTAACACTAAGCTTTGGGAGAAGGTATGACACAGGTCAATCAGAGTAGCCACTTATCAATCCACATTTCCAAGTATGCTGGTAACGTACTTGTTAAAAACTGTGTCATGCAAACTACCTAGCATTGCTATGAGCTAGCACCATGAGTCTGGTGAGGGAAGGGCTTTTCCTTAGGAGGCTGAAGACACAAAACAAGGGCAACAGTGAACTCAGTAGTACAAAGGTGGGAGGAAAACTAGAGGAAAGGCAGAAAGTGCAGCACCTGTTGGCAAGGCAGCACCTTTAAGAAACATACACAGTTTGACTATAAAATGATCAGTTGTGTCTTTGTTTTTAATAAAACAAATGTAACAGAATGTATAAATCTAAAGGAACATTTTTTTCCTCACAGTAGTAACATCGTTAGCCCCAACAAAGCTATCATTGTTGGAGACATGATTTGGAACTCCTCTTTGGGGGAAAGACCTTAAATAAAGGCAGTTTACAGGCCCCGGTTATAAAACATCCATCCAAATGTTGGGCTGTTTACAAACAGAAACAAAATACACTGGGAAGGAAAAGAAAAGAAATTAAAAATGAGGAGAACTGCAGTTGGACATGAGGTTCCCCTCAACATCTCTAGCAAGTTCTGTGCAGCAATACCGTCACCGGAGAAACGTGTGCTCTCCCGGAAGAGCTGCTTTCAATGGCATGACATTTGGAGAAAAAAGTTCTGCTATTTAAAAAAGAACATCAGCCACACTCCTTCATAGTCACACTTGCATTTGATTAAAAAACAACAACAACAACAGCACTCACACATGATTCTTGTATGGATTCTAATTGAAGAGACATTACATTCAGAATTGTAGCACTCGTAATTTTCAGAAGACTAAAACAGCTTCTTTGCCACTTAAAGGGTACATAGGGGGCAGCTTTTTACCTGAATGCATTCTTAAATAAGTGACTACTACCGCTCTAATGTTCCTAGTTGTAGCTCTGGTACAGGTTACTGACCACAGGTTCACGGCCCCGACTTGCTTTGCCAACACACATGAATTACAAGTGAGCCACCCCCGCAGTCTCACGGTGAATTGGGAAAGGGCCGGTTAAATGAAGAGACAGGCCATTCCTTGGTAAATGTTTGTAGCTTTCTTTCCCAATACATCTTCTTTTTATTGAGCACTTCCATTTTTATCCTGTGTTCCTCCTCTGCCATCTCACACTCTCGCTCTATCTGCTGGATTTTGGCCACATGAACCTCATTCATTTGTATCAGCTGCAGTTGTAAGATGGACATTTGTTGATGGTGTTCTTCCTCATGCATCTTTGTTAAAGCACCTTCCTGAGAGGTTTTGCTCCTGTAGTTTTTATTGGCTGTTATTCTGACAGCTGAACACGAGGGTTCAGGTTGAGAGGTCCCCTCACATACTGGAAAATGTATGAACTCTTTCTCATCATCGCACAGTTCTCTATTTGAAACAGCAAATGACTCTGAAAAACAGTAGCAGAAAACATATGTTCAAAGATTTTACAGGCAGAGAGTCAATCAATCCTATTTTAAAGGAGAGGGGGGTCCCCACGCACGGGATGTATCTAAAAACAGGTACCTTTGCCATAACTGACTTTTTCAAAACCCACAAATCAAAAGCAATTTTCCCTTAAGAAATCATGATAAAGGGCTTATGATGTCATTTCTAGAACTTTGAAAGCCACGGGCAGAGACTGCGATGATCAGGAATGAGAGACTTTGGTATGGAGATATCAGTTCAAAATGGAAGCATGCACAACTCTAAATGAGCATAATATCTTTGTCCAAAACCAATAGCATGGGTATTCAGGTTAAGTCACCCATCCATCTGAGGTCCTTCATTCAGCCATAAACAAAAAGCTTATGCTCAATCTCCACAAGGGTGCCTTAGACTGGAGAGCCATCTTCTAAATGTCCTTCCATGAAAGGACTCAACTTCTCAGTAAGGCACTTCTTAGCACATCATTTCTCTTCACTCTCCTGCCACCTGGCTAGTGCCTCCTGCACTGACATGTGGGACCAGTAGTCATGTCCCAAGGGCACTTTCCAATGTCTCCTCTTATTAAGCCTCTGAACCATCACATTCCAAGTTCTTCTACAGACTCCTCTCTGCTTGCTCCTTCTCAAGTCTCCTTTAAGGACTCCATCTCCTGTTCCATTCATCTCTTACCTTTTAATATTCTCCTGGGGATTCCATGTTCTTACTCTACCATATGTAACTCTTAGAATCTGGTTCCAATCTCCCTTTATCTTTCCTGTCTTACTCTTCAAAAATACCCTCTGCACCCTTCAATCCTACCACAAACTACTCACATCCTTTTAAAGAACCTGCTTTTTTTTTTTTCCCCATACTTTCGTGCGTAACAATCCCTTCAGCTTGTGCTTGAACTCACCGTTTGCATCCTACCCACCCACCCAAACCCCCCTCACTCCAGTCTTTCTTTTTCAGTCTTCCCCGGCTAACTCCTACTGTGCTCAGGACCAATACTACTTCCTCTGTGAAATCTCAGATCTCGCCTTTCTCTACAAGTATTCTTCTGTCACAGCACTTGACACATCCCAGACTTACTTTGGGACCTGGTTCTATCCATTTTTATTCTGAGGTAATAATTACTTTGCTTGTACATTATTGTGCACAGTAGATTCCTAGTAAGTATATATTGGCTGGTCCCTTGGATACAGGAGCAAAGAGCATATGGATGCAAAAGGATGCCAATTATGGTAGGTGCCCTGTCTGCGCTGATGGTTTTAATAGAGTAATGGCATGGGTATCAATTAGGAAATTCAGTAAGGAAACCCACTAACTCCACAAACCCATGGTAGCTTCTAGCTGTGACGTCAAGGCTTTCTTGAGCACTTTCATTTTTCCAATAATAAGAATCTTCTCCTTTGAGAAAATAATACCAATTTATTAACAGATGTGATTACATTATTATGTCCACTCCATTACTCGGGAAGATGGGATGCTGGGAATGTTGTTTCTGAGGGAAGCCTAATGCGTAATAACACCATTAATAAAAGGAAAATGTTGGAATTATTTCCCTTCAAGGGGTCAGGTAACAACCTAAATTAATAGTCCATAATTAAGATCACAGAAAAGATCAAAATCTTACCTTTCGTAGTGAAGGTTAAAAAGAAACGAAAAAAAAAAAAAAAAAAGCATACTTCTGTGCCATCCAGAGATAATGAAAATGCCTCCCTAGGTATCTTTCCCAACTCCCACAGCTCCCCTTGCCTCATGCTCCCACTACCTCCCGGGCCCACTACTGATACAGCACCTGCACTAGGCCTTATCTAACTGCTTCCCCCTCATGTCTCTGAGCACTTTGAAGTCAGAATCTGCCTCTTTTTCATCGTCATATAGAACCCAGCTCAGGGCCTGTGACAGGGCTGGGAGCTGAGGTGACTTCAGTGGGACACTTTCCTGTCAACACAGCACAGTTGTGTACAAAGGGTGGCTGTTCTGAGTGTATAACTTCCTCTGTGCAGGGCAGAGGAAGAGGGTTAACACTGAGCAAGGGTCTCCCAAGGTCAGTATCAACTCACCCAGTGCCTTTCTAATCTTACATCTGAAAAGGTTTTCTTTTAGGACAGATGCACAAGACATTTCTCAGTATGTCTTGCCTCCTTTTTCTTTCTCGAGGGGGTCAGTGGTGGATATTCCTCGGAGTCTTTAAAGTTTACCAACTTGCCATGCTGCTCATTTCTTCCAAATTCTAACACTGCTTACTTTCATCTCAACAATTCAAGGTTTTAGGAACCTGGTGATGATGATGATGATGATACCCAAACCCACGGCCATTGAGTCCAGTCTGACTCATAGTTGCCCTATACAGAGCTTCCCTATATGGGAGCAGATAGCCTCTTATTTCTCCCATGGAGCAGCTGGTGGGTTTTGAACCCCTAACCTTGTGGTTAGCAGTCCAATGCTTAACCCACAGAGCCACCAGAGTACAATGATAATGATTATAGCAGTTACCATTTTTCAAGTCGCTAACTGGGAACTAAACTAGTGCTTTACAGGATTCATCTTGATTAATCCTTACAAAAGCCCCTAAAAAGGTATTCTTAGAGAAAGCCCAGTGTAGATATAGATTGTTGTTGTTGTTAAGTGCCGTCGAGTCGGTTCCAACCCATAGCGACCCTGTACAGGGTTTCCGAGGGTGTAAATCTTTACAGGAGTAGAAAGCCTCATCTTTCTCCCGCGGAGCGGCTGGTAGTTTCGAATCGCTGACCTTAAGGTTCGCAGCCCGATTATTTAGCTGACCAAACTCGGATTTAAATGCTGGTCTCTGCTGACACCAGAATCCTAGCTCAACATTGCAACACTCTTCCACTACTCCACTTGCTCAGCTGCGATACTCACTTATCTTTATTACTAAGAATACAGGGTAATATTCCAAATTTTGCTCTCCAAATTTTTCTCGAGGGCCTAATTAAGGCAGTATGTTCATGTCTGGGAGCAGAACACTGGCTCCACTTTATAACTACGGATTTTAGTTTAAACGTGTGTTAACATATGCATTTTAAAGAAGAAAAGAAAAAGTCAGGCCTCTTAAGATAAAGACTCTGAAAGAGCCTGGACTTCAAATGAGAGGTGACTCATAGAGCAGATAATTAGCTCCAATGAATACAATCTAGTGTTTAGATGGGAAGACTCTTAACCGGAAGAAGATATCCTGGGAATGCAAACAGCTACCATGGAACCTCACTCTCAGGTAAAACAAAAACCCCCAAAGTAGAAAACAATTCAATCATTTGCAAAACAGGTAGAAAGGCTTGCCTGGGATAGGCTTTCCAAGGACCAGAAAACATTCATATAATCAAGGGGTGAGATTTTTCTTAGGGGACTCAAGTGAGCTTAATGCCAACAGGACAAGCCTACTGTAGCAATAAAAGGGGGCTATTATTGGGGGGGCTGAGGAACTGTGTTGTTGTTGTTAAATGCCATCGAGTTGATTCCAACCCATAGCAACCCTGTATAAGGTTTCCAAGGAGCAGCTGTTCTTGCAGCTGTAGTTCAAACGACTTTGCAGTCTGACACATTAGCCCACAGCGCCACCCCAGGACTCTGAGGGACTGTGCAGAGGAAGTCAAATCCCAGCTCTAGTCAACAGAACAAACAAAACAGGATGCACATTTTGGAATATTGTGCATTAACTGAAAGGAGAGAAGGAGGATATCATGTTTGGTAAAGTAGAGGGTCAGCGAAAAAGAGGAAGAGCCCCAATGAGATGGACTGAGACAGTGGCAGCACCACGGGCTCAAACAGAACAACTGTGAGAATGGCACAGGACAGGGCAGTGTTTGGTCCTGTTGTGCCTACGGTCACTACAAGTCAGAACCAATTTGACAGCACCTAACAACAACAAAAGAAGACCTAGTTTTAAACACTGCAATATGAATACATCTTAAAAATAGTATTCTAAGTTTTCACTCCAAAACAAGAGAATGGCACAATTTTCAAAAACATGTGAAAGAACATACAAGCACATTAAAATGAACAGGGTACAAAAGAGAATGGAAGTGGGGAATGGAAATAAACACACATACACAACACAAAAGGGAGGCTCTGAGTGGACCAATGACGATAGTGTACCATGATTAGAAGTGTAACTCAGTCTCTTGTACCCAAATTCCCATCACAGAGCAGGACTGAACTAAACACTGTTTGTGTACTAATGTTTGCATTAGTCCATTACAGCTGACTAGTAATGAAATAATGGCATACGAGAGTAAATATAAATTACCCTAAAACATTTGAGCTACTTGAAAGCTCAGTTTTCTTAAATGTTTTTGACCTTCAGTTATCCTTCCACCTGCCCATCCCCAGTAAATCTAACTGGATCCCTTAGTATGTTCTGTAAACCTATTGCCCAAAGATAATGGAAGATGAAGTGTCAAAGGCAAATGATCACACCATAAACCTGGAGGATGCAAATTGCTTCAATATATTTAAAGGCAATCCCCAGGGGTTTGAGAAAATGCAATCCAAATGTTATGATTTTAGGAGTATTGTCATCAAAATATAAATTTTTAAGACAGTCATTTACAAAAGCTGAGAGTATCTAAGGGACAATGATCAAGACGACACAGACAAAACACATACACACATAATTAGCTGGAGGGTGGCCTCTAGTTCTGTTAAACATTTTTATAAGGAATTCCAACAAATCTCTGAGCACCTAATTCTGTAAAAGGCATTCTGCAGATATTAGAACAGCAGAAATATAAAACAACAACACATGTAATTTTAAGTTTTCTAGCTGCCATATTAAAAAAAAATAAAAAGAAATCGCTGATAAAAAATTTTAAGAATCTATTTCATCTATACATCTAAAATACTATGAATTTAACATGCAATCAGTAGAAAATGTATTAGTCACATATTTTATGTTCTTTTTAGTATGTGGTTTCGTACACATAATGAAAACAAACCAAATCCAAGTCCCTCAAGTCCGTTCTGACTCTTAGTGACCCTAATATGGGGTTTTCAAGACTAAATCTTCACGGGAGCAGAGAGCCAGCCTCATCTTTCTCCCCAGTAGCAGCTGGTGCATCAGGACTGCCAACCCTGTGCTTAGCAGCCCAACACCTAGCTCAGAGCATCACCAGGGTGCCTTGTAGCATATAGCAATTTGATCTAGACACAGTTCAAGTGCTAATAAACCATTAGCATCAACAATTCCAGCCTTCTCTTTTCTTTCTTGAAAGTATGTTGATATAAAAGATGAGTTTTTTTAATGTATGAGTTTTTTAAATGAAAAGATAACCAGGGAGCTTCAACAAGTTCACAGGAAAATTCCATTATCTTTTCATTCCATTTTTCCATGAACTTTTTGATGCCCCCTCATACAGAAAGTGCTTCAGCATTTTCACTACTTGAATTACAGTATTACTTTGGTCATACTTCCTAACTGACAGACAGAGGGCCAGAGGTTTCTACCACCTACCAGATTTGACCTGGCCACATTTGGCTGATTAATAACCACCAGCAAGAAGGAAAGTTTCATGTCTCACGTATTGCGTAAGTACATGGCCATCCAATGTAAAATGTACCTCTTTTACAAATAAGGCTCTAGTCAATGTCAATACAGAAAAGCAACCAGCCATATTTATGCCTGTCTTGCTGGAAATGCATGCACTGTTGTTGTTTTAGTTGTTGTTATGTGCCGTGGAGTCGGTTCCAACTCATAGTGACCCTGTACAGGGTTTCTGAGGCTGTAAATCTTTACGGGAGCAGAAAGCCTCATCTTTCTCCTGCGGAACAGCTGGTAGTTTCGGACTGTTGACCCTGAGGTTAGCAGCCCAATTCGTAACCACTACAGTAAATTAACTGCACCATTTCTTCCAGAAAGAAAAAGAAACACATGGAATAAGCATTGTAGATCCTCCCTAGAATTTGCAAAGAGGGAATTAAGAGTGTCCCCTAAGTATATTCCTATAAAAGCAATATTCAATAAGGCAGATCAGAGATCAGCAAAGAGAACTGAATGCAACACCTCCTGGGGAACAGAAGCACTTTGAAAAGCAGCCCCCACCCACAATTCGGACTCCCCTCTCTCCTCCCTCCCTCACCATCACTCCGTTCTGGTTCTGTGCCTCACAGAAACTGACTGGCACAGGTACCAGCAAATGGAGAGTAACCATCTGCCAGGATAAACATCTCTAAAGCAAGAACAACAAATTGTCAATTAGCAGTGGGGCCCACCCACAGAAGCAGCAAACAGGAGTTAAGATAGTACCCACAAAACCCCTCTCTGCTCAGAGCTCCCTGGGGCTTGGGACTCAAGAATCAAACCCAGACACAGTGGGAAACTATGCATGACATTAACCATCACGGTTTTTCAACTGGCTCCCTGGACTTCACCTTGGTCAATGACCAGAAAGCAAACTTCTGACCATAATTTAGCACCACAGCTGGCTCATCTGCCAACAGGAGGAAAAAAAAAGTCTGTATTTAGTTCACGTGGTGATTATCTGTTTTACTCTTCATGGAAACATTGCTATTCTTGGTTCTCTTGACTGTTTCTTGTAACTTTTAATTAACAAGAGTTGGAATTCAATCTACTCTAGGCACACTAATAAATTGAGTTTTTTATCCTGCAAGGCAAAATCCAGATTTTCCTGGGCAAGTGTTGGCTGGGTCCTTGGACTTTTTTAATGGGGATTCTATCAGCAGCCCTCTGGTCTCCCCAGGAACCCTCCTTTGCCTCAAGGTGTGTTCTCTGCAAACTGCAATGAACCTCTTTATAAACTGGCCACTTTCTGTCCTGAAAGAGGCAGGAGTTATTGACACTTTATCTATATGCATTTCCCCCTCTCCTTTGTCTAGAGACATTTCAAGAAGCCCTTAATTCCCATGGTTTAAAGCTACATCACTACGCCATTACTTTCCTGATTGTATGACAGTCTTCCTCTCCTAAGAGTTATTTTGTGTGAGATATTTTTATCTTTTCAATGGAAGTATATTAAAAAAATTTTTTACAGAATTTTTTAAGGCTAAGGTTTGAAATCTCTCTCCTTTTTTTTTTTTTTTAAATGTGGCCTTTGAGTGGGCTTTTGAGAAGTCCTCAATATTTTTATCTGCAAAAAAGATTGAGTGAATGAATATAATGCCTCACCAAACAAAAATTCTAAGATATTTGAGAGATAAGCAACTGAAGTATATCATTAAATAACAATACTGATGGCAGTCCCTCAGTTTTCCTTATCCATATATAGTACTAGTCTCTGAGAGAGAGAGCGAGGGATGTAAATTAGTCCTTTTGGTTTGCTTGTTTCTACTCCTTTATAAGGAGTTCTGGTAGCATAGTGGTAACGAATCAGGCTGCTACTCTCACGGTCAGCAGTTCAAAACTACCAGCTGTTCCATGGGAGAAAAGATGAGGCTTTCTGCTCCTGTAAAGATTTACAGCCTCGGAAACCCTGTACAGGGTCGCTATGAGTCGGAACCGACTCCACGGCACATAACAAGAACAACCCCTATATAAGGGGCTCTGGTGGCTTAGTGGTAACAGATTGGGCTGCTGATCTCAAGGATCGGGCTGCTTAATCTCAAGGTCAGCAGCTACAGACAACTAGCAGTTTTGCAGGAGAAAGAGGTTTTCTGCTCCCAGAAAAGATTTACAGCCTCGGAACCCCTACACAGGGTCATTATGAGTCGGAACCGACTCCATAGCACATAACCACTACCACCACCACGCCTTTACACTCCGAGATTTTGGATTAGAAAAATCACGTTTGATACGGCAGCTTCATTTCTGTCAATTCCCTAAACAATTAGGAGGAATCCTGGTGTGGCGCTGAGAGATAATGCACTGGGCCGAAAGGTCGGTTTGAACTGCAAGCGCGGCAAGCAGTTCAAACTCACCAGTAGCTTCTATACAGGCTCCCTATGAGTCTGAACTGACTCAATGGCACTTAACAACAACAACAACAAAACAATTATGGTTGTTAAAATTCAACTGTCCCACAGGTACCCAAGGAGGGCATGCAAGCCAGCTGGGCTCCGGAGGCAATACCTTGGGCGGCAGCATCCGGGTGGTATTCGGGCTCCTCTTCAGGAGGGCTCTGCAGGAAGTAGAGTTGCTCGGGCAGCATGGTGGCGATTTTCTCCTTCCCGAGGACGTGTGTGCTCAGCAGCGGGCTGACGCTCCGCTTCACTTTCTCTCTCCTTTCATGGGCCATGATTTTTTTGGTCCGAGCCTTGATGTTTTCCCAGCACTTCTTCAGCTGTTTGAAATCCCGCAGCGATACGCTTGGCTGAGAGTTGTATTCGTGGGCAAGTGCTTGCCAGGTACGTTGCTTGAGTGCAATAGTTCGCGCATCACTTTTTTTACATTCAAGCACATATTTGTACTTTTCCACTAAAGCAAGCAAGATGCTCTTTTCTAATTCTGAGAAGTATTTGGCGGGTTTTATAATTTCGTTGTTTTGCATTTTCCACTATATTTCTCCTGGCCGTTAGCGATCCTGTGAAAGGAAGTTTGAAACAATCATTACCAAGTCCAAACAATAAAGACTTCAGCAAATGACTTGTAGCCTAATCCCTGTCTTGATACCCTTGCTTGAAACACAGTACTACTTTCTTGTCTATGAATGTGGAATGATACTATCAGGAAAATATCCAGAAATTTATCTAGGAATGGGATTTTCCAGTACATCCTTTGTTCTAGGTCTTGGCCATATTAATGTCTCGCAAATAACAGAGCAAAAAATAAGAGAAGTTGAATGTGTATGTGAAAGTCAGACTTTATTTCTGTTTAATGTTAAAGAACTGAGAAGTCTCCAAATTCATAATGTTATGTGACTCTTGAACTAAACAGCTTTCTAAAAATTTTCTCAGCTGAATACAACAGATGTCATTGTGTTCTCAAATATAATAGCTATATTACATATTTTAATGATATTGCATCTCTGATATTTCCATCACTATTTGTAACCTTGGACCTCTCTGGACCTCAGTTTCTACATTTTTACAACTAGGGTTTAAAGTCTATGATCCATCCCTAAGGTCTGAGGGCCACTTTTATATAAAAAGGCGAAATCCCATGTCAATGATTTATATCATTTCAGGGTGAAAGGGCCTGGACACTGACAGCTGAGTCCTATGGCACCCACAGTTCTGCTCTGAAAACGTGGGTGACCATGAATTGAGATCAACTGGTTGGGTTTGTTTATTTATTTAATGTTTTATTGTGAATTGTGTGATAGTCTACATGGAAGAACATCAGCTTTACATTCATTCCATCATCCATCATTTCGTTGGCATAGTTATCATCCTGTCCATGCATCCTCACCCAACCAAGGGGTGTACCCTGTAAACCTGCCCCCCCCCCACCACAGTCCTCAGCCCCTTTCCATCTCCTGATCCCGAGCCCCCAGCCCCACCATCTCTTGACGTTGTCTTCTCTGCCTCAATCCCAGGCCTCACTGCCTCTTTGGGTAGGATTCTGCTCTTTGCTCTTCTCTATTGATGGTCCCAGGGTCCTCAGCTCCTAGACTGATAAATTAATCACTCCCCTCTTTGTTACAAAATGTCCATCTTTAGATTTCCAACCCTCACAATCAGTCCTGATAACAATTATTCACTATTGTATCACAAGAGACCCATCTAGATTTCGTTTCATCAGCCCTTCCTGAACAGGCTGGACACCACTCACTGGAGACTCTACCTTCCTCCACACCCTCTGGATCTAGGTTCCCTCTTGAAAGCTTGTAAGCCAGTCACTTCTTGCCTTTGTATCCCTCCCCCCATTTTGGGTAGCCAATGTCCAAGTTGCCCATCCCTGTCTACCCTTTGTGTTGTTGGGGTTTGTTTTTGTTGTAGTATTCCCACATTATGCTTGAGGAGGGTGACTGTAGTTGAAAGTGGCTTCACTCTGCTATGCCTGAGACTGGCACAGAAGACCAGAGCCCTGAACAGAGGCCAAGGAGCACAGGATCCATCAGAGGGCAATGGAACTTTATCAGTGTTTTCACTACACACTGCTTCTTTACAGAAGTTCAGGTTAGAACCAAGGGCAGACAGTCCCCTGATCCATTCCTAACTGTGTCTTTATGAATTTGTATGTTAAGTCGGAATGGGCACAGACAGTTCTTACTTGGCTGCTAACTGAAGGGTCGGCATTTCAAACCCCCCAGCCACTCCATAGGAGACAGATGTGGCAGTTTGCTTCAGGTGAGTTTACAGCCGTGGAAACCCTAGGCGGCAATTCTACTCTGTCCTCTACAGTAGCTATGAGTCCCAATCAACTCGAAGGCGCTGTTTTGTTTTTTTAAGGGTTGGTTCAATCATTTCAAAGTGAGGGCAAATTTATATCATATTAAAGGGCAAGTAAGAGTTATCTATAAATCAATGGCTGGACTGCATCCACCATCAAATTTCTGCTTCCCATTCATACTAGAGACATGAGGGATCAAGAGACTTAGACACACAGGGAAAAAAATTATCTCTGGAAACTTGATCCTGCACCCCTAAATTTATCTCAGGGGGCTGTGCCTGCACCCCTAAATTCCTATGCTTGTGCTTCAACTACCTCATTGCTGTTCTGATGCCCTACACTGTCACCCAATGACATCCCAAAGGTTCAAAATTAATTTTTCAACTTCATTAGCACTCCTATTTCTCATGAATCAACAGTCCCCAACCTGAAAATTATTAACCATATCCTTACGATACTGTATCTTCTGTACTGTCTCCATCTGCCAACACTACTTTCTGCAGTTTTTATTATGAAATCAATAGGGACACTTAATATTTTTAAACTACACAATTCCCCAAATAGATTCTGATCCGAAGTTCCCTCACCCTACTCTTCCTCTCAGGAGTCGACATGACTTACCTTCTTCCACACCCCATTCTTTTTAAGAGTCATTGCTATGAGGACTGAGAAATTCACAAAAGAAAAATCTCTTGTTCCCCATTTTGTTCTATTATAGGTAATGCCTATCTATTATGTTTCCATTCTATTTCTCCCTTAACTTCTTGAAGTCCCCTCATTTATACTTCTTTTGAAATAAACCTTTCTTTTTCTAACCTTTATTTCTTCAGATAAATTCCTAGAAAAGGAACAGTTGCCACAAAAGGTAAAAACACTTGTTACATCATCTACCTGCCCCCTTCTTTAATGGTGTGCTAATTTGCATTCCTACTAATAGCCTATGTGCATGTCCATGGACACTTCATTTACTCTTGCTTTTAATGTATTTTTTATTCTATGCCAATTACTGTTGTTGTTAAGTGCCAGTCAAGTCAATTCTGATACGTAGCAACCCTGTATAGGGTTTTCAAGAAGCAGCTGGTGAGCTTGAACCACCAACCTTGCAGTTCAAGTGAATTTGCAGTCTGATGCATTCGCCTACAATGCCACACCAGGAGCAAAATGTCGGTTTATTGTTTAATGACATGAATGCTAATTCTCAGGCAAACAAGTTGCACTCGGACTAAATAAAGCCCCCAAGATAGTAAGTGTAAGGTAAATTAAACATATAAGCAGTTCCACTCCCTAAGTCTGTCTTTAAGTTGAATGTGTACGGACTTCTGAACAGATAAGTACATTATCTAACGTTGGTCAACTGTCTGTCTTAGTATATAGTATATAGCGTACCTTTTCTGTATTAAGAAAACATTAAAGAAACGCTTCCAGATACACTAAAGCAACTTTAACACAACACAAAAAGGTTTTCATGCAAAGCAGTGTCTGTTTGATATTATCAAACTTTGTACGCACGTTGAATTTTTAGTAAATAGGCTTTATGGGTGTTGGCTGGTAACTACAAGTTATATGTATGTCAGATGTGTTAGTAGTCCTGGGCTGTCTGTAATTCCAAGCAATTTAATAATTCTTACACACCACGTGTGCAGTACCATTAGCTGCCACCAGGTGGGGGAGGCTTAACAAGGAGGATCATGCCCTATGTGTGGCTGTTGTTAAGCTTAGTAGAGTCAGTAGACTCACAGCAACCCTTGTATAGGGTTTCTAAGGAGTGGATGGTGAACTTGAACCACCAACCTTGTGGCTCAAACCGACTTTGCAGTCCAGTGCATTAATCTGCAGCACCACACCATGACTCTTATTGTGGCTAGCTGAATCTGAAACCAATATAGCACTTGTTAAGTGCCGTCGAGTCGATTCCGACCCATAGTGACCCTGTATAGGGTTTCCGATGAGCAGCTGGTGAGCTAGAACCACCAACCTTGCAGTTCAAACGGCTTTGCAGTCTGGCACATTAACCCACAGCACCACACCAGGACTAGTAGCAGATAACTTTGAGTTCTTACTGTGGACAACGCACTACCTACACTAAGTGTTTAGTATACACTGTATCATTTAATCTGTGCAAAAATAGCTCTTGAGTGCATCATTTGTTACAAATCAATATTTTCTGTGTTTTAAAAAATACTTTATTAAAATAGAAGAAATTATACAACTGCTCTCAAAAGCAAATGCTTTGAATTACCAACACCTGGGGATTATTAATAGCCTATTAACTAAACTGTTGTTTAATCACTAGCCATGCTAATCCAGAGTTACTAATTGACTTTGCTTAATTTCCTAGAGCAGCAGGCCTCTCTGGGCCAAGTGGCTGCATTTTGCAAGCCTACAAAGGAATTCCTGGAAGAGATGATGTACCCCCAAGAGACTCCTATGGATTTTCAACAACCTCAGGAAGTAGGCTGTTTATCCCCATTAACCAACTATAATTCCCACTTCCCAGATAAGAATACTGAGACCAGTAAACTGCTCACTAACCTAAAAACCCACTGCTACTTAATAACAATTTAGAGTCCTGGCGTGACGCTGTAGGATAAGCACGGGACTATTAACCACAAAGTCGTAGGCAATTCAAACCCACCAGCTGCTCCCTGGAAACCTATACAGGGTCACTATGAGTCGGAACCAACTTGACTGCATTTAACACCATTGAGTCAATCCAGACTCACCGTGACCCTGTATAGGGTTTCCGAGACTGTAAAGCTTTACAGGAGTAGACAGCCTCATTTTTTTCCTGCTGAGAGACTAATACGTTTGAACTGCTGACCTTGAGTTTAGCAGTCCAATGCTTACCCCACAGCACCACTAAGGCTCCTAAGTCACACAAAAAATAAGTGGCAAAACCAGGATTCCAACCGAGTTCAGATCCAGGAACAGCCTCTACCTGCCAGCTCAAATTACATGTCAGTTAGCACTGTAATAGTCAAGTTACTCACATGAAGAAAAGGTTTTTGTGCAGAACAATTTAGTGGCGCTTCACAAGGCACTTCAAAGTGACTAGTCTCATTAGCCCCGGGCAGGGATGCCAGGAGTGGGAATCTACTTGATGAAAGTGGCTTTGCTTTCTTGGTACCCTGAGTAAGGAGCCCTGGTGATGTCGTGGGTAAACCCACAGAGAGGCGGTTTGAGTCCACCAGCTGTTCCTCAGGACTGACTGGCTTCTATTAGGATCACAGCTTTAGAACCCTATGAGGG